CGAATTTGATTTGCATAACTCTGGATAATGCACGCCTCACTGCCTACCGCATAAACACTATAAATAAATTAAACGCCGCTCAGACTGTGACTCAATAAGAGGAATTAACCGCTAGCTGGATGAGCGCAGATCACTATCCATCCAAGGCGCGTGCGTGACACAGCACACGAGCGATTCCTTTTTGCTTTTATGTTAGTCGTGCGATCTGATTAAGTCAGTGCGAGAAACTTAGTCACTGGACAATGTTTCTGTTTACTCATAATGATTAAGGATGGATCCCTGCAGCAAAAGAGATAAATAAGAATTCCTTTTAATTGAACGATTTTTTTTATTGAGGTGCTTGCACCTGCTTTGATCCATGTGCTTCTGAAGGTTTTTGGTTACTAGTTTGTATTCAAAGACAAAATTGCATGAGAATTGTTAATATCCTATGCTTGAAATTCTTGTAGCATTTTAGCAGAAACCCAAAGATATTAAATAGGTATTTCCCATTCAAGTAACATCAAGTTACATGGCGGTTCTATAATATCAAAAAGAATCGTCTCCCAGCTCAATCTTTTAGATTACACGTATAATAAGTTCATTAAACCAAGTGCGCAGTCGGTCGTTTTCAGTTAAATCGTTAAAATTGGAGTCGAGAGCTCGAGTGGGTCGCGTTCATCCGAAGCCTTTTTTGTTCCGAGTCGGTCGCGAGAATTAGAGTTGTTTGATATGAATGAGAACGGATAAATTGGGGATTTTAACGGTTAAGTAGGTAGAACGGTTGTGGAAACATTTTTCTTTGGTTTAATTTGAGTTTTATCAATTACAAAAAAAACGAAAAAGAGAATACAATTTATTGAATACATTTAATAAGATTTTTTTAAAGGATTAAGTAAGCTTATTTTAATTATGTTATTCACTCACTAGGGACGTGTCTGTTATCAATCAATTTATCAACCAGCAAAACATATTTTCATTTCTTATATTTACTCAGAGATTTTATTCTGTGTAATATTCGATCGTAACGTTCCTATTGCGATTAAGTACTCCTGTCGGCAAATTAGACTACATTTTTGTTCCAAAATAACACCTATTACGACCACACAAGACACAAGTGTTTAGCTAGATGTACCAACGTCTGTTAGGAAATTGAAATCCCCGGTGTGTATTACAAAAATGAGGAGTGGTGGCGCCGACTCAAAGGGCGAGTTTCCGTGTTTTAATTGAGTTTCCAGCATGAGGGTGTGGACAACCCACCATTCGAAAAGTACGAGTAATTACGGCAGTTTGCTGGACATAAGTTTATGTAAAACTTACGGGGTTAAGCTTTTATGAATATGACTAGCGGCCGCCCGCGACTTCGTACGCGTGGATCCCGTTTTACCCCCTTCATCTATCTTACTGAATAATATGATTATAAATTTAATTATTTACGTGAGATGTTAAAGGTTAACCTAATGAATAACCTATCTTTCATAAGAGAAAGTCAATCGGTATACTTAGGTATGTTTACTTTGATTATTCGACGCAACTTTGTGCATAAAAATTCAGCTTATACATGTGTATTTGGACTACTCTTACATGTGCTTAATCCTAAGGTTCTCTGGGAGATTGCTCTATATCGTTAAGAAAGGATAGTGCCAGGGTCTGGACCAAGTGCTGCCCAGAATCAACCCATAGTGCATTTTGTTCCTCAGGCCAATACTAATGTATAAACCGAAGCGCACTGAAATCTATCCCTGGAGTTAAGAGAAAAAAAGAGTTTTGTTTTGAATTATTTACATACAAAATATCATCGATATATACGTACTACGCATAAGATTTCGTGATTTTGGCATTAAATAACACTCGCTATGTTAAACTTAACCATACTGCATCCGTACACCTTACTTTAGTGCGACTTAGACATTCTTTAGAAGCGATCTAACGCTGTTGCAATAGTTTGGTTAGTTGACAAAAATCATTATTTCCAAATGAAGCAAGAAGTTTTAGTTCTCTATCCTTGCGAAAAATCAATTTATTGGTGTATTACAATCGATTATTGAAGTTATTGTAAGCTAAAACTTCTTGCTCCATTTTGGAAATAATTAATTTCGGTCAACTAACTAAACTACTGAAACAGCGCTTGATCGCTTATAAATAATGTCGAAGTCGTACTAAAGTAAGGTGTACGGATGCAGTATGGTTAAGTTCAACATAGCGAGTGTTATTTAATGACAAAATCGCGAAATCTTATGCGTAGTAGGTATACATAGATGATATTTTGTATGTAAATAATTCAAAACAAAACTCTTTTTTTCTCTTAACTCCAGGGATAGATTTCAGTGCGCTCCGGTTTACAAATTAGTATTGGCCTGAGGAACAAAATGCACTATAGTTTCATTCTGGGCAGCACTTGGTCCAACTTCCATACATGGATTGGCACTGTCCTTTTGTACTTAAATAAAAAAAAAGTAATACTATGTTACCCAACTATGTATACTTATCTAAACAGTATCAGTTAAAGGGAATCGGTTGTTTCATTTGACAGGTAATTTACGCAGCATTGATGGATGGCGCTATTTGCCGAACATTTCGTTTGTGTCAATATTGTTTGTGGGTGTTCACCTCACGGCGAGCATTTGATTGTAATTATTATTAATGAGCGTGCCATTAAATTGACTGATTTTGACGTTGGACTGATCGTTATAAATTCGCCGGTAGGCATAAAAGTGTGAATCTTGTGTATATTCTGCAACTTTTATTAGGATAGTTAATTAATTGTCAAAGATTCAATGCCGACTTATTTTTAGAAATTCTAAATAGCAGTGCTTTCACATAAATTTAGATGACTTACGTTAACAAAAACATACATTACGTATCTAAATGTAGTGTTTTATAGACACAAAACAAATTGTATGATTAGAAGACCTATATTCATATAAAATGAGATGGCATCTTTTAACGTGTTCTTAATAATTTTGTTAACGTTAAAATCCTGGAACATTCCATTATTAGTTTATTCCACAACGAATTATCGAATCAGAAAAAAGTCACTTTGGCCGCGGACTTATTTAAATTCAGGTCTTTATTTCAATTTTGTGCCCATTGAATAGTAATTGCTTTGTTTCAACATTCGGGAACGATTTTATTTGTTATACGCACGTGAATTGCTAGCGTTCTGAAAATTACATTTTACGGTGGACAGTAACGTTCTCGTGAATCAATAGTATTGGGTAGTATCTTTTTTGACCACTTAAAATTAAAATGAGTATCAATAATACTGTAAAATTAAAAACGACTTCATAAATAGTGAAATAAAATTAAAGATAAAGAATATTTACTTTTACTGAAAATAAGAGTTGCCAAAAAAGGTGTAAGACTTGACCAAAACCGGTGCTTTTACCCTACAACATCCAACAATTGTGAGCCTACTAGTGGACAGGGTACACTTTTTGTCCTAATTCCTCTCATAAGTAAAGACAGGGCACTAATTAATTGTCCCGGGCCGGCAACTCATTAGCCAGGTTATTTTGTGGTATGCCCTATTAATTTTGGGCAGCCGCCATTATTCGTACTTAGGTCCTGCAGAAACTCTTGAACTGTGCTACATACAGTATTAAGTACGGTCTTATGTAATTTATTGATCACTACTTTTTCTGCTAGATCTTTATTTAACAGTTTATTATATAATTTTTGTCTAAAGTTACCATAAATCACCATTTCATCTAATTTCAGTTCTCTACCGGACGTAAGGATCGCTTAAGAGCATGACCTGTTTTAATCATAATAAACCATATTTTATAATCATAAATTGTACAAAATAATATTTTATCATTGTGAGAAATGCTTATTTGATGGTTTATTTATTCGGTCTTGATTGCGTACATTTTACTTCTTAAACTGCTCGACTCAATAATCGAATACATCAATGTTGTTAAAATTTATTGGCAATAAAATTATTCATTTAGTATCTGGAGAGATGACTTTATAGCTGTTATGTCAGCAATATAAATTTTATTCTTTTTGGTTTACAAGCAAGGAAAGTGTCGTCTTTGAGAGGTCAGCTGAGGCGGCTGTGCACATAATATGAGTACGTCGAGCTCAATTTATTGCGGCCTATTTACTTACTCATTATATTATTTTCTTTTTATAATAAGGTTATTCAATTTATTAGCATTCATGTTTTGTTTAGCCTAGATCTCATTCGCACTATTGTTGTTTATTATGTAACGTTCTATTTACCCAATTTTATGTAGGTATGTACCTACCTAAGTAATTAAATTAACTAGATACCTTACGTCAAACTAATAGGCGTTTTTTTTTGCTTCCTTTGACATCCAGATAAAACTTTTTTTTTATCCACAACGAGGAAGCTCTTGGCCTGTATCTCACCTGATGGTAAGTGACGATCAGGCCGAAGGTCGAACTAGCTCTAGAAAATTAATTTTCATAATTCAATTGTCACAATTTAACCCGGAGAGAATTCAGATAACGTCATGACGTGATTTATGATGGGGCGAGCTTTCCCAGACACTGAAGTCAAACAATAACTGGATCATGGACCCAGATAGATAGATTCTTCTTTTGTTCCGCTTAGTATAGTACAGTTTTTACCTAAACAATAAGTCATAGATCAATCAATTTAGAACCTACATTTAAACACAATCCAGTTCAATATCCATTGAGGAAATTCGTCGTGTTCCATTCGCTACATTTGAAATTTTGAAGTCAAAAAAGGAACGCAGATTTTCTTTTTTTTCTGCTGGAATTTAGAGAGCGCCAACTCCAATTATTAAAGAGCAGTCAATTTAGAACTTAATTTTTAATCTCATCCAGTTCAAAATCCATTGGGTTAATTTTGTGGTGTTCCATACATTGACGTCAAGGGATTATAGCTCTAATGTTGTTGACAGATAATGGCAAACATGGTGATATTCGTGTGGGTGAAAAATCCATTGTAGTTGTTCATCATTTTGTAGTGTTGACGACTGTACATTGACAACGTCAAGGGATTATAGTTCTTACGTTGTTGGCAGATGGTGGCGAACGTGGTGGTTTTCGTGTGCGTGAACGTGGTGGGAGCGCTGATGCATTCCTTGATGGAGACGGCGCAGCGACGAGCGTTCTTGGACACGCGGAACTGCATCGCAGCGAGGCTGGACATGGAGGATGAGAATGAGAAACTGGTAAATGTTTACTGTTTTTTAGATTTTTGACATTTTGAGACGTTTTCAAATGTTATTAAAATCCTCATTGGTAAACAGTTGACGAGCGCAACGCATCAACTAACTAAGCTTCAGCTAATAAATGTTTTGTCACTTCGAAATAAAATGTGGTTTTTGCTGTGATTTAGTGTGGGAAAGAGGTATGTAAATAAATTAGTCAAAACAGCATTGTATGACTGTTTTATGATGTAAAGTGTAACGTTGAGATTACCGAGATTAAATGTATGATTCACTGAAGCAAAGGCTGTTAAGAATTTTCTCAAACACAGCCACTCTGACTGGTTTTAACCACGTATCTAACGCCCGTATTCACAAACGATGCTTGCTTAAGTGAAGCAGCAAATCGAACGCACAGCGTTGAATAGAGCTCTATGACCCTGTGCGCACTGTGAGACCTCATAATAATGTTTGTGAATACGGGCTTAACACAAATGACGTCTTGTTTGAATAATATGTAACTATTGGTTTTGCCACACCATCCATTGACACATCTCATTCACCAACTCATTGACAGCTAATTAGACAATTAAGAACAGTACAGCGCAGTGGTTGTTCATTACAAATGCATAAAGTGCAGCAATTCATTGGACTTCTGCTCCGAATGCTCTCTCGTCAGCTATTAGTGGTTTAATGGCGTAACGCAGCGCATTTCAATTAGCTGGTCTTTACGGTGACGTGGGATGTGTTTCAAACGAATTGCCACAGTATAAGTAAGCAGTATTTTGTCTGGACAGTGTCCTTGAAATAATGTGGGATTACCAACACGGCTGCTCGAAATATTACTAAGGCTACCTACACCCACTGACTGCTCCCTGGACCGATACTTACCTATATTACATAATTATGATATTATTTATTTGTTTGTCATACAAGCACAGCTTAGTGCTGCAGCCGTTAGAAGAAAAAACTTTTTGTAAACTTTTTGTTGGCAAATAAAATACTTTTTACTTTTACTTTTATATGTAATACTGCGTACTAATTTATACTGTGCCATCAGGCAGCTACATCAAAATCATAAAAGCATGGTAATTAAGCCTCATACGTTACACTTATTTGCCAGAGCTATGCGGACTCCTGGTTCCAAGATATAATTTTTATAATTCATGAATGTAATTTGCTTTATTACTACAAGCAGTTAAAAGTTTTTGTGGAACACAAATATGCCAAATTATCTGTTCAAAGTACAGTCGCCAGCTCAATTGGACATTGTAGCAAAATCAAACTTATTAGAACTACGTAAGATTACATTTAGTTTACTGTGCTGTCGTTCATATTGTAATAGCAGTTGAATCCGTATTACTTACATCTGTTTTAATACCAATATTATGTAGATCTTATCGGAAACAAATTAGTTACGTTTTGAGTCAGCTAAATGGTTTTAGCAACCAATGTAAGAGATAACCTCGGATGTATTGATAAGGATGATTTTTGGGTACACGCCAACATGTTTCTATTTTCGGTTAAAAATAGAGGTTTCTTAACTCGACTGTATTTTAAGGTAAACGTTGGAAATACTAATAGAAGTAGCTAAACTAGTATAACACGTAACCAAAGTTGTTATCAGTACCTACGTGACTAATAATAATTGTAAAACGTTATAGAAATGCCATTGCAAATTAAAACAACGTGGTTTGTTGCTAGTTAGTTGAAACTCATTTTAATAACACCCTGTATTGTGATACAGGAACGTTTGCTGCTATCAGTGCTGCCGCAGCATGTAGCCATGGAGATGAAGAACGACATCATATCGCCCGTCGAGGGGCAGTTCCACAAGATTTACATCCAGAAGCACGAGCAAGTCAGGTAAGTCTTAAATAATATCACTATCATCATCATTCATCATCTTCATCATCATATCTACTGCAGTAGGAGGACCCTCTTTAATACATAGGTACTAGAGGAAGGATTTGGCCTACAGTCTTCACTGGTCAGAGTTTGGAGAGGCCCGATGTTCGCATATTTCTCTACATTTTATTAAAAACTCTACTGCAACGCTCTTGAATAATATGGAAAAACAAAAAAACTGATTTGAAATTCTATTTATGTTGATTCCACATCCGTCCTCGGTGCGATGCGATTCTAACGAACATGTGTGATGAACTGATGACTGTGTTTACTCGTTACTTTGCGTAGGTGTTACAGCAAAAGACATTTCCTTTTAGACAGTCGACTATAAATATTTTCCTAAAAAACCACGTACTAAAAGTTAACGGTTAGGTGTCCATGACCGGTTAAAGGAGTTTTTGATATGTTGAGGTAAACTGGACCGTCCGTATACGGCCTACGTATTAAAGCTCAAGCCATAACAGCCGTGAGCTGTGCTTGCATAATACTCGTACTTAAAAGTAGGGATGTTATGCATATGTAGTTTCGGTGATGGACACGGTTATGGATATAGGAATAATATTATACCGGTTTCGGTTACGGTTACGGATATTTTTTTATTTCGGATATCCGAAAGTTTCGGTTACGGTTACGGATATCTGTGGTTTAGAATGCAATTTGCAATAGTTGTCCAACACGGTTCATTCATGGCCGTTCATGCACTTTACATCGAATAAAAAGTAATAAAAAAATAAAAATTGATACTATTTTTTACAATCTTTAGCGCACTGGCACTTGCGTGTTGATTAATTATACACAATGAGAGTTGAGTGTACGAACGAGAGTAAACAAGTTGTCATGTCATCGAATGAATTCTCTGGCACATAGCTGGCGTAAGTACGGTGTGATATCTCCATAGAATTTGACAGCTATGAGTTGCGTCACAGACATAGTGTGATAGCTGATATCGTTAGAAAAAGCGTAGAAGACGCAATAAAAAGAAGTTTAAAGCTAATACAACAATAACACGTATGTCAGTCACTTAGTGTCAAAAGACCTTTTATGAACGGTGAAAACGCGATTCGACCATCGTTCTTGAACAGAAATGGGAATCTATCACTTGTTTGACAGCTAAATTGAGTAACCATTATTAAAGTTCTAAGCAACTAAAATCTAATTTTACGCTTAATTGACGACTAATTGGGCTTTTAGTGTTAAAATATATTATTTTTAGAAAAGTTGGGCCTAAGAATTATTGGTAAATATTTGTCAACTGTCTAATTGTTTGAGTGTCGATATGGGGCCGGAAGGTGTAGTGTGGGCAGGTCTACCACTAGATGGGCCGACGATCTGGTAAAAGTAAGAGCTTTCCAGTCCAGCTTGTCCAGCAGTGGACATCATTTGGCTGAATCGAACGAACCTAATTGCGGTGGCCTGTTCCTTGCTATTTGATAATTTAATGGCCGTATCTTATCTCGCGGCTTTGGACTCACTCCAAATTGGGCTTGACTCGATTCGATGCGGCTTTCGCAAGTTGCAGACTCAATCACGGCTACAGACTTCTTGTAATTACTCTACAATTCGTAATTTAATGAGTCGTTTGAGTGAAATGTTGAATCCTTTTTATGCTCAATATGAATTCGAGAACGATGGAAAACAATTTCTATTTGTAGTAAAATAATTTATACGCCCTATTCAGTGGTTAAATCGAAATTTTAAAATATTTATAATTTCTCTACCATAAAACGCAAAATACAATTTTGTGTATTTCTGTGGACAAGGGAAGCATCACTCACTACTTTACTGAATTTATTTATTACTTATATGTAATTATTGTGCTCGTAACAATATTTATTTTCCCAGAATATTTTAATATAGTTTTGATAACGTAATAATTTAAATGATCACTATAAAATTCACATCAATCAAAGTAAAGTTAATCTGCCGTTATTATGTTATCGACAAGGCAACTGTGACTTTTCAACCGACTTCAAAAAAGGAGGAGGTTCTCAATTCGACCCGTATGTTTTTTTTTTTTTCTATGTTTGTTACGCGATAACTCCGCCAATTATGAACCGATTTGAACAAATCTTTTTTCGGCGTATAGGTAATACCTCAAGGGTGGTCCCATTTAAATTTAATAATAGAAAAAACAACCCCCAAGGGTGGAAAATTGGGGATGAACTTTTTTATACGCAATATCTCCGCTGATTATAAACCAATTTGAACGATTATTTTTTTGTTGAATAGGTATTATCAAAAGGGTGGTTTCATGCGAATTTGAAGAAAATATTTCACCCCCAAGGGTGGAAAATTGGGGATGAACTTTTTTATACGCAATATTTCCGCCGATTATGAACCAATTTTTTTTGGTCTCAGTGTACTGCCTACCTTCAGTGGTAACATCAAGGTAATAATTAGTTAACTAAAAAGCAAGAAATAAGTAAAATTTTATAAAAAAAAATAAAACCGACTCCAAAAAACCTACACTAAAACGTAGAAAAATAATTAGTAATTACCTACTTATTTATTAGGACGAATTATTAATATTTATGTAGGTATACCATGATTGATACTTTTGGAGTCGGTGCAGGCAAACTTGACATGTTTCATAATCTTGGCACCGACTCCAGAAGTATCAATCATGGTATACCTACATAAATATTAATAATTCGTCCTAATAAATAAGTAGGTAATTACTAATTATTTTTCTACGTTTTAGTGTAGGTTTTTTGGAGTCGGTTTTTTTTTATATGCCTGTCGATGACATGTTGATTAGTTTCTATTCATTATCGAGATGTCATTAAAGATTATCAAGATGTGGGGCCAGAATTAATTAAGAATATCCATGTCGCTTTGTCAGGATTACTGTCAGTGCGTTAATTAAATATAATCACGTTACGAAAGACAATTATTGACAGCAATTCTAATAAAGATAAAGAAGAATAGTGAAAAGGACATGTGACAACTCATCATATCAAAACATAAAAGTCACTTAATACGTAAGTGAATGTAAAAGTGTTTTTCAGTTTAAGTATTAATATTTGCTCTAACAATGAGCTCGTTTCATCTCTCTTCATTATGGTGTATTTTTATAGCACCCTCAAATCTGTCACCAACCGTGATGGGTCCACAAAAATTAGGCACTCGTCTCCTCCGTGCCCGCTCTACCAAAAAATTGTTTGCATACGAAATGAAGGTTCGTCTGAGAGTTTCAGCGAACTTTCTGTATCAATATTATTTACTACGAATAAATATTCAAATTAAAGTCCTAATTAGTGCCGTGAATTTTCTGAAACATTTCATCGTTAGCATTTTTTCTCTCGGAAAAATGTGGTGATTACGTGCTAATATTGTTTTACAAAGACTTATTAATAAACCTTTGTCTTCAACCATAATAGGTACTTCTTGTGCGAAATCAAGTAATTATTGTAACAAATTGTTTGGCGTCGTCCTTTAATTCGCTGAAATTAAATGCTTGTTTGTGTTCCACTAAGTATACAGAGTAAGCTCGTTGGAGCACGTGTGCGGCGGTTCAACGGTTAGACAGACAATTTGACATCAAAGGCTTCTCAGATAAATGGTTTGTGGATCCATAAATCAGATACAAACCATTAATAAACACATTGATTTTTGTTATTCGTATTCCAGACATGGCGGAGACGAGTACGTTCGTTGATAACGTGTCAAAATTGCGTTATTAGTTCGTACCGTCGCTCGTACAAATTGTCATTATCATTGCCGGCTACGGTAAACGGTTTTGTCATTAAGATTAATGCTGTTATCTGTCACTAATTGCTCGGCTCGTAGACGTGAGCATCGGCAGCAAGTTCACTAAACTTCACCCGATCAGATGTATTAGGATCCCAGCTGTCGGTGTCAGCTGGCGACGAGATGCGAGCCATTTATCAAAGACGAAGTTGTTCGTGCGAAACTAGAATTCAAGCGATACTACTAACTAGCTACTAACGCTAATGGATACGTGACGAAATATTACAGTTCCCCGATTGTATAATCGGGTCGTTAATACTGGATCGGTGTTACTTACAGACACAATCAAAGCGTCTTGTGCAAAGAGCTCATTAACAGAACTACATTGAGCCTGTAATTATATTATCATCATTCAATTATCTATTACAATTTTAACGACGGAAAATCAATACAAATCGGTTTATAGTGGAATTTTTAGAGCAATCGTGTTTTTGTTTGGAATTTAGTAATAAAAACTTTATTTGACTCGATCGGCTTTGATTTCCAATATTAAACTTAAGCTTCGCTGACCTAGCGCACGGATCAGTGGCAATATGGGTCGGATTTGGGTCGGTAACATGCAAAATCTATGTATGCTCGTATGACCATAAAGTATTCACCGAGATCGTTGGCCTCGAGACCGATAAACTTCCAATTATATTATTGCTTTAAAAATAACATCGCGTAATGTTATTGTTATATTCATACATTTTATTGTGTTGCAAATTAGGTCGCCGATACGCGAGACCAGAAACACTTAAAAAGCACGGTGTTATCTTCTTCTTTTATTTATTTATTATTGATACATGATTATTGGAAGGTCACACATTGACAAAAGACGTTTCATTTGCGCTGGCATGCTAAAATGCGATCTATGTACTCAGATTAGCTTAATGGTTTAACACATCGAGTCATAGTCGATATTTGCCAAAGGTACACCAAAGTTTTACTTAATATTTTTATCAATGACGTAACTACATAACTGTGTGTTTGTTATATTTTTATGCCTAATATGCGGAACCGTTCAGGCTAGAGATAGATTGGTGTTTATCGCCTCGTTACAAAAAATGATGAATGGGTGGAATCCATCGTTTCTCCAGATCCTTATAACGATTTTGGTCGAAATATATTTATGTAATAGATTATGCGTTAATTTATGATTATACTTGAATTAATTAATCAATATTGTCTATTCTGGGAGAATGCTCAGGTGCTATGAATGGGATTGT